ACTTTTAAAAACATTTCTTATAATAATTATTATAATAATAGTATGGAAGTTATTTCTTGAAATCGACTGAAATTTATTACAAAGTGTTTGTGTGCTTATAATCAATTAATAACTATTTATAATAGGATAAAATATTTAAAAAATTAAAAAATTTTTTACATTTCTTTTTTAAATTATTTATAAATTTAACTTTTGTTTGAAAATTTCAAACAATAACAAAATGTATATAATATCACAATACAGTTGGTTTACAATAAGTTTGCAGTTGGTTCACGGTGATAATTTACAGTTCGGTGACTCGATGATGTAACGGTAGCTGTGCCATTGAACTTCACACAATCCTCTACTAACTCCAACTCAGTATGGCTGAATTATCCGTCGCTTTTGAATATTTTGTTAGACAGTTCATCCTCCGACGTCCATGCCTCCAGGGCTCACAAACACCACACTACCTCCCAGATACGATGACATATCAAAAGTTCCTCTTAAATCTTTTACTTATAGGCCCTATTCTCGTATGGTTCCTTGCTTCGATTGTATTAGCTAAGAAAAGTGTTAGAAGACTAGAGAAAGCCTATCGGTTTAATCCATCTTACTCTCTTTATTCTATCTATGAATTTGAATTAATTAATTATAAATATCTACTATTCTCTAAAAACTCTATTTTTCTTAGAAATTCTATAACATCTGCCTTAACATCTAAAAAAAGGTGGTCTGTTCTATTTAAACTTCTTCATAAAAAATCATCTCACTCATCTTTTTCTGCTTAACAGTTCCATGACTTTTTTGTAAATAAAATTATTTCTTTAAGAACATCTAATCCTAATTTTTCTCCTCATAACTTTTCTTTACTTACTACTGAATTTTTTTCTGTATTTATTCCAGTAAATCTTCTGGAACTTATTAAAATTAATAAATCTGTTTCGCCTACAACCTATTCTCTAGATCTACTTCCTTCTAATTTACTTAAAGAATTTTCTTCAATATTTTAACATATCATTCTCAAATTAGTTAAATTATCTATTACTACCTCCAAATTTCTTACTTCTTATAAGAATTTTATTGATTTTCCTATTCTTAAAAATCCATCCTAAGATCCTACTTTTTATCTAATTATAGACCTGTTACTAAAATCACTTTCCTCTCTAAAATAATAAAAAAAAAGTAAATTATAATCAACATAACGATGACTTTATTCTAATCCTCATCCTCATGCCATCTTATTTGAACTCTAACTTCTTGCTACCTCTACTGAAACTTTTTTTCTCAAAATACATAACGATATTCTTTTTTCTAGTGACAATAGTAATCTTACTCTTCTTCTTGCTCTTGACTTTTACTCTGCTTTTGACACTGTTGATCATACTGTTCTCTTGAAGCTGCTAGATCTTTCTTTTAATATCACTGATTTTGGTCTATCTTGGTTTTCTTCTTATCTCTGTAATCGTTTTTCTTCTGTTGTTTTCAATAATTTTACATCTTACTCCTCTGCTCTTACTTTCGGGGTACCTCAAACCTTGGCCCTCATTTATTTATACTCTATACTTCTGAACTACTTCGTATAGATAATATTTTTTCTTTCACTAGTCTATTATATGATGATTATTCTTACATTTCTGATTCTACACTCCATCCTTTAAGCAAAGCTTTCAACTCTGCTGCTTGTCTAGCAGCTCGTGCCCCTTTCTTTTCTCATATACCTCTATATCTTGTTCTCTTGCACTGGCTACCTATAAAATATTGAATCATTTTTAAATTTGCACATTTATGTATAAGTCTCAATCTAAATTATTTTCTTATCAGATATATTAATTGAACCAAAACGCCCCAGTTTACAATTGTCATTTTCACTTAACTTGAGTTAAGCACTCTTTTGTTAAATCTGCTTTTGCTTTTTCTGGCCCTTTTCTCTGGAACTCTCTATCTACTTTTTTGACTACTTCTCCATCACTCACAAAGTTCATGAGTACATGTAGATGATAATTGTCTACTATTTGTACAAAAAATGTCGGTTAATGCAATTATGACAAATCAATTTGCTTGAGACTAATGTACCTGAAAGATTTGAAAACGAGGCAATTAAAAACTCTTACCATGGAAAGTTTCTAACTCACTAAAATTTGTCCGCGTAAAAAAAAGGTAGCATTTGTGGATATGCGTAAATATCTTTTTGCATTATAATAGCAATTGAACGGGACAGAAAGTTAACGCCACTTACCTACACTGATTTTTAAAAAGATTATAAACATTATATATATAAAATAATAATGCCTTCCCTAACATAATGTTATGTTTTATTGTTAATGAAAGTTCTGATTTAAAGTTACTTAAAGTCTGGAAGGATAACATTTAACAACTTTGATGTTTCGTACATCTTATGCCTATTTTTCAAACAAGTTTGCTGCGTGTTTTGTTTTAACTAGTCTAGCTTAATTTTTATTTGTAACTATTGTGCTTTTTTGATTTTTCGATTTTTCTCTAGTTCGTAATTTGGCAATAAACCACTTGAATAATAATAACACCAGTGTTAATGACTTAACACAAATCTTTAACAAATGATCATCAACAAACTCAGAGCAGATTTTTGTAGCATTCTATATTGGCACTTTTTATTTAATAATTTTTATATTAGATGTTTCATGCTGATTTACTAGCAAGTAAGATAAGAATTTATTGTAAATATAACATCTAAAACATTCATCACCGCTTCTTCTTCACCATCGTCGCAATTAACATAATAATTAACATGACAGTTTTGTTAAATTTATGGCAAAAATAAAATTCTGTCGATACTAGTTATTTATTCTGAAAACGTGGAATGCACGTATGTATTCATTGCGTGTACCTTCTGTAGGAAAATTGTTATAAATATGTTTGCTATAATTGCAAGAAAGTTTAGTTGAAAAGTTATTTAATAATTTTGATCATTTATTTCAAGTTGTTGAAATGCATCCATCATATTGTGTTGCCATTTTGTTGATGTTGTGGACGCTTACATGCTCCGAAAGTTTTTTTTTGTTATATAAGTTTGAATTAATTCAATTAAAAAAAATTAGATAAAGCAAATAATTTAGCGATAGAGCACACGCTATTTGTCACAGTTACCGAGAGCCAGCATGTGAGATGTACTCTTGTGTGAACATTTTGGAGTTAAATAAAGAAATTTATGCCTCTCTTTCTTATTTTTATTCATTTAAATTTTAAAATATCATTTTTGTCATAAATTATGGAAACTAAAAAATTTTTTGCAAAATTATATTATTCAACGTCTAAATAAAATAACGGTCTGATTTTAAAATTTAGATTGGTGTCCCATGAGATTTACTCACACCCTGAGAGTCAACAAAAAGGGACCATACTTAACGTTCAGTATTCCACGTACTAATTACAGCGAGGTTTTTTACCTTTTACGTTCTGTTTAATTAGTTAATGCATTTCTCATCTTTTTAAATAGCTCTACTTTCAAATAAATTGTTTTTCATCATTCAGCTCCGCAGATAATAATAAATTAACTTTTGTTTTCTAGCAGGTTTGCTATTATGATCATAAATATATCAATCGCCATTTCCACATATACCGTCGAATGCTTGTGGTGAAATTATTTTCATTTGATTCACAAACAGTTTATGTGTAAATATGCTTCCCTTTCACTCTCTCTACCCTCTCTCTTTCTCCTCTCTCTCCTATTTTCTTTCTCTCTCTCTCTATCTCTCAAGCCTTAAGCCTTTTAAAATAACAACGCCATTAAATTCTATATATGTATATATAGAATAAAATGACAAACTTTAACTAGGCCATGATCGGAATAATATTTATTTTTGCTGTAGTGTCAATCATTGATGTTTATTTTTTTACTGATCTAATGTTTATTTAATGTTTGATTTATTTGTTTGACGAACGTTTGTCTTTGACTATTTTGTATATTTTTTTATTTGTAAGCGGTTTTGAAAAACTATTTAATTAGTGCCATATATATATATTCGTGTATATATTATACGTCGGCGTCTAAATTTTTCTTGGGATAAATTACAGAAAATTAGTGGCTTTTGCGGCTGCTAGTTTCATTCCCCTATCTATTTTTATATCCGCATAACCCTCCAAGGGTTATTCAGCTCTGTCTGATACCTTTTGTGACTTGTATTAGAGTTAAACTTTTGCGCCGAGAAATTTGTAACACACACCACACGAGTTACACACATACAAACACTAAAATTAATTAGATTAATTATCATGTTAATTTAAAATATTAACAGTTTACGAAGATTATAAAATAAGTATTTTTATAAGTTTTTCTTTTGAATTTCATCAGTAGCAAATTTCATATTTTTGGCCATTAGTTGTCGTATTGTAAAATTTGAATCTAGTACTTTTACAAGACTCACCAATTGCAGACCGGATGAAGAAGTACTTATTCACAAAGAAGAGCAAACCATTCTTTAAATTTCAATTAATTTTTATTAGGTTACAATGTGTACAATTTATTTGTAAAACTGGCGTAAAATATAAGCTGCAAAAATTGAATTAATAATGATAAGTTTAAAATGCTACTGCTAATATCACTACTACCATTGCTAATACTAATATTGTGTGATTTTGTTGTTGTTAATGTATGGTGCAGGTAAGTTGAATACTGAAAGTTGTTGGAATTGTGGTGGTATTATTTCAGGTTGAAGTTGTTGTCCAGGTAATTGTTGGAAGTTTTGTTGTTGTTGCGGTTGTGGCTGAAATTGCTGAAGTTGATCTTCTTGGATTGGTGGGATTATATTGAGAAAATGTTGTTGTGGTGGTAAATATCGCGGAGGTAGGTATTGATACTGAAAAACATTTTGCAGGTTCTGATAATATGGTAGGTATTGTTGTTGTTCGGACTGCTCCTGCATATAAGGCTGCTGTTGAATCTGAAGATGTTGTAACGGAAGTTGTTGCTGTTGAAGTTGAAGTTGCTGTGGTTGTCCTGTACAGTTGTTCGCCTTAGGATCCAGTTTAATTCTTTTGTCTGGTCGATTTGTAATAACGTTTTCTACCGACCTTTTTCGTTTTGGACGGTAAACATACCCAGGATTTAAAATGGAATGTTCAAACTTTCTTCTATCAGCTTCAGCCTTATACCGCTGTCTTTCCTCCTCTGTAAGTTCTTTCCACATAAATCCTAATTTTTTATTTATCTCGGTCAAGTTTGCTCTCGGGTTTTGTGCTATAACACCCGGTCGCATAACCTCACCGAAAACAAAAAAGCAGTTAGGGGGTCTTTTTACTTTTCTAGCTTTTGTTTGTTTTTCATTTGCTGCTATTTCAATACTGTTATTCAGATCAGTATTTGATGCCATTCTAAAAATTAAATGCTTAAATACTTAACTACAAAATGCTTAAAAAATGCAAGAATTAGTCTATTAGCACTGATATTCAAGAAGATTTAATTTAGTTTCAATAATGATGGCTCTATTTATACCAAAAATGAGGTAAAAGTTTACCCAACTGTTGGTAAGGTAATAAAATTAATTCAATAATAAAATTATCATCGATTAATTAACTCAATAAAAACAACCTAATGAAATTATCATTAAATTATCAATCCTAACAACCAGTCTCAAATTTACAAGTATCATTTAAACATCAAAGACGTCTTTGTTGTAAATAAAGTAATAAAATATAACCGATGATAATTTTATTAAGTTGTTTTTATTATGTTAATTTTATCATGTACCTATTCGACAATTAAATAATTAACCTTCACCTGATTTTGGTAGAAATCGATCTGGCATTCGAGAATCAACTAAAATATTTTTGAATAATACCCATTTGCAATGCAATATCCAAATTTTTCAAGGATAAAAAATTAGTTTGGAATAATAATGAATCGAAATTTGATAAACGACAAGAACATCTCCGATTACCAATCTAATAGATACTTACTGAATTTAAATTTCAAAAATTTCAAAGAATTACTTCAAACCAATTCAGTTATGGCCCAAAACACTAATTTGATTATAATGTTTTATAACTGACTTGTGTTTTATTCAGTTCGGTACTGATAATTATAGAACTGAATAAAACACAAGGCATACCGAACTGAATAAAACACAAGGCAATAATTATCAGTACCGAACTGAATAAAACACAAGGCAAAACAAAAAAAATAAGAGACAAGCTAACTTATTTTTAGTCTATGGTGCAAACCCCCGAGGCTAACTTGAACGAGATCAAAAAGCAGTTATAAGTGATGTAGAAGGAACTGCCAAGTAAAGAAAAAAGACGCCACAACGTTTAAGCAAAAAAAAGACAGCATGCTCTAATAATCCCAGGGTACATGTACCGACCAAAATGAAAGAGGTCGGAAGAGAACGTGAATATGGGCAGCGAAAACAAGCCGGTTAAAAGGGACCCTAAATTAATCGAAAACCTCAAGGCAAACAATTTAACTGAACAACAACTTTGATTACAGCAAAAAAAAATCATCTATACAACAACACTAGTTTTACAACAGCTTCAAATACCACAACAACTTTAACAACACTTTATCCACATTGATACCAGCACCTGACAGGGCCTCATTTTTCACAACCACCACCATTTCTACATTCGATCAACCCATTCCAACATTTACCAAAAGACAACAACATCAACTTGATTTAATACCCCAACAATTTCAACAATTTTTATAATAAATCTACCTTCTGCACCATATTGAATTTTGAACAACAACGACGACGATAACAACATACAAATCAACAGTCCAATATCTTCAACAACAACTTAAACAGCTGATTCAATTCCCAATCAACTAAAACGCACCAACAAGATTCTCAACATTTAAAGTTCAGAAAGTTTTTTGATTATATGGAAAAGATGTGGCTTGATATATAAATTTAGCTTAGTTGATAGCGTTTAGTCATTTAGGTGAATTTTAACAGTTCAAATGGCCTATTTTAGTTAAGAAGAACAAAGTAATAAATCAGCATGATTCAAAAACATTATTGAAATTTTCTGTCAATTTTATTTTATCGACAATAATTCAAATCGAAAATTGAGAGGATATTGATTTTTTTACAATTTAATGCTGCACAAATTTTAAAAGTCTTTAATGAGTCCTGCAGAAACTTGTACAAAACACGTTGGTTCAATGCAACCTAATTGTGAACTAAATTTGTATAATTTACAATAAACAATTAAACTGAGCTTGTTTGCAATTGTTTGGAAATGTATCTTACTTATGTGGCAGTGATAATTTGCGTGCTGAACATCGTTCAATGTTCTGGTCCCAGGACTCTGGGTTAATTTTTTTTTGATTTTTCTAAATGTTCTACTAACTATTTTTAAAAAATCAAAATTTTGACTTTGTTTCGGCTTTGGTATGATGGATAAATTTTAAAATTATAAACTAACTTCAAAATTTAAAAAAAAATTTATATATTCTAAATTGCTAGCTGAATGCCCGCCAAAGTTTCAAGCAATTTTAAAGTATGACCTCAAAGGAAATACAAAAACTTTCTTAGTTCTTCGTAAAACCAAATATTCGGTACTTGATGAAGTTAATTTTTTTTTAACTTGAACGAATGAATACAATTGATTAAGTTAGTAAATAATTTTTCGTAAAATTTGGAAGGATCTTTGTGTATAGAAGAATACTTTAGCGGTCAGAGAGGCATTTGGTTTTTACATACCCACAGATATTAAAGAGGAACCATATTGCGCATGTATCGGGTGAGCGTTTGGAGTCTTTTAAAATTTTCATGCTAAAATTTTAATTTTTTTTTGTAATCACATTAAAATTTTTATTAAAAAATTGATTAAAAAAAAGATAATATAAATATTGCAAAATTCATTTTTGCTGGGTTAATTTTATTTGTTGGCCATAAATTTATAAAAGACTCGTTAAAAAGTTCTCTTTTAATTTTAAGAACATTTGTTTTTTAATTTTGACTACTTTTTTTAAAAAATCATACAACGAGCAAAAGTTAAGCCAGTGAAAATTGTTTCATTTGGTGATAACTAACATTAAAATTTTTTAAACTTTAAACTTAGCCTGGTCACAAAAACTTCTGGACATAGAATTGATTGTTTTATAATTTAAAAATATAATAATTTAATTAAATTTTATAAACACTTAAGAATATAATGTACAACAAAGCAGCAGACAGGTGTGGAAATCATAACTGTTTTCTAAAACGCATTGGATTCAAATGCTACAGCGTTTTCAGTTTAAAGCTTAATTTTTTAGTGAATGATTCTATTAAAATATCTTTCGATACTAACATATTTGAAACTCGCCAAAAACAAACTGAACTTCATCAATCAGTTATAAGTTCAGCAAAATATATATATAATTCCGACAACCACAAAACCGTTTTCTACAGGAAGGTTACTTCATGATTGGAGACGCCAAGTACAAACTCGAGAGCGAAAGGGATCTTCATTACTGTACAGTTGCTGATCCAGTGAACATACCTCTTGGTCGGCGCCACTATGTTTGCCTTGAAGTCAACTTTTTCTGTCAATAAGTTAAGTCACTGTGAAATTTAAAGTCAGCATTTTAAAGTATAAATTGCTGATTAAACTTCAACTTGCTTTAATTATTTATGTATTTGTAAACTAAAAACGATTTAATTTTTTTGAAAATTTGCTGGATAATAATTACTTTTCAACAATAATTATGTTTTATAAACAATTTGTCTGAAAAAATCATATTCAAATTTTAGACTCTCACAAGATACGTTAATAAATTAATAAAAGTTGGTAAGTTTTTTTAACTAATTAAGAAAATAATACAATGACTATTGGATTATAATTCTGATGCTGATACGATTTCACATAATTTTGTAATTTATATCCAATTTATTAAAATTTATTAGAAAATCGTAGGTGTTTAGGGGGAAGCGAATATAGGCCGTATTTCGATTTTACTCATTATCAGCGCTTTTATAGGAAAATTTCAAGGTTTTACAATTCTCTGTGATAATATTTATTTTGATTTTTAAGTTTAAGCAAGAACTATTTGTATCTCAAAGATGTAATTACGGATTTGTTGTGAAATGCAGTGATTAGCTAATCACGTAACAAAACAATAAATAATGCCATTCAATTAATTTATTGAAAAAAATTTTCATTGAAATTGTTGATTAAAATTGCAAATTTCAGTTAATATATATGTTATTCTTTAGTCAAATATCAATATATTGGAGCCAGTTAAGCGTAAAGATGCAAAATTCCAGCCACGTCATCTGAACCCAATGAGATAATTGCCTTGTTTGAAACGAAATAAGGGTACATCAGGGCTGCTGTATCATTTGAATGACCCAGGCCTAGAACGTGTCCAAACTCGTGGACGGCTACCCAGAATAAATTGGCACCTGAGTACGTGAGAAAATTAAACGATTAAATATCATACTACAGAGAGTTGGCTTAAAAAGCGTATGTTCTGCATTACAATTAATTTTAAATTGTATGTTGAGCTTATTTAATAGTAAAATTAAAACAAATAATTCTTTTTAGGTAAAAGATTATGAATGCATCAACCTTTTTCTTGATTACCACTCCAAGTTTCATCGTCATCGAAATGGATGTCTCCGATTGGAGGATAAGAGCCATGACCCAATATATGACCCGGTCCGTCAAATGGGGCATTGTCACCATGGTTTTTTTTGGCAAACTTAACTTTTATGGTAGCTTTATCAGATGCAGAAAGTGGGAAGGAAAGTTTTTTAGCCGAACCAGACCACAACTAATTATTTAAGTAATATAAATATGTGTATTTTTGCGTATATATATATATATATATATATATATACTAATTTTTGAAATAAATATATTAAAAATAGAATTACTATCCAAATTCATCTTGCAATATATATTTATATACATGAACACACAAACACACACAGACAGGGCAGCCTAAAATAAGTTTTAAAAAGTTACTTTCAAAGATTCATTTATGATGCGGTCCACGTCTGAAATAGTCAGGTTCAAAACTTTTGACGGATAGTTGAATATTTTATAGTCCAAAGTAAAATTTTTCCATTTTGCTTGAAAAAAATTTTGTTACAAAAAATTGTAAATATAATTTGACATTCTTATACTTACTAACGGGATAATATCTTTTGACTCTCCCATCACTGATATCCACATCGGGTATGGAGCATCTTGGTGCTTCCATCATGGCCATAGTCTCCTCATCCAACGCACCTGCTTTATTAACCAACTTATGAATAAATTTAAATATGATTTATTTATTAAAAAACATATTCTCAAGTGTTTCTATTGAACATGGCTGAACAGGAACCTGTTCCCTTCAATCCGGAATACGTTTGCATTGTTTTGATTGCATCTTCAAGGTTCACTGCATTGTTTTCAGAATTATCTTTCAAGTAACCGTATCTCTTCAAAAATTTCTGAAATTTCAATATTTTTGTTAATGCCTAGATAGATACGCATATCAAGTCAAATTTGTAAAATGTTTTTGTAAACATTTTCTCTTAATTGTTTGCTTAGCTTTTTTTAACACTCATTAAATTGAATGACAAAGGGATCAAAACTAAAATATCAACAAGATTTGTGAAAAATTTTTAAAAATTTTCAGATTATGACAAAAACTAACCACAGCCTTCATTGTCATTTCTTCTTGAGGGAGTTCCTCTGAAGGCATCGATGTGGTGTCATCAGTTGAAAAGCAGACCTCCACCACGTTCAATAGCAGGTTGACAAGGAGGAACCTTCCAGACTTCATGTCGTTTATTTGAAATAAATCTACAATAAATCTGTAGTTGTTTTGAAATTATTCATCTATAAAAGCATCTCCTATTTATAGAGAAAAAGTCGAGCGAAGACAATAAAATAATTTTTCAACGGCCTGTCTCGAATTGCTTATTGTCAAGTTTGTTCTGTTTGACGCAACAACGGAACAGATGTTCACTTGTCAAGACTGTTGATTTTTAATATTCATCATAATTAACTCGCTCACATCGTTTTAGTATTTTTAATTTTCATCATCGTTTTTACAATCATCGGACGAGTTGAACTTCAGCAAGAGTTGAACAACAGACTCGTCAGCGTTTGTTATCGATTGGACAGAGTTTTAGGAAACTCGATGATGATGAACAGGTGAGCATTATTATTTTTTTAGACATTTTAAAAAATAATTTCTATATATTCATTCATTCGATTCAATACAAAAACAAACTTTTTATTTTAAATATTTCTACCAGTTTGGAGAACTAAAAATGAAACGATCAGCAGAAAATCACCGTTCATCGTATAGACGAGTCATTTCAACATTTTTCATTTTATTCTTAAATAATTAAAGCACTGAAAAGCTTGTTCGTCTTTTCAAAAAATTTAACGAGCAGACGACCCTGTCGTAATCAGAACTGTTGAATAAATTTTATAGATACTTGAATACCTACTCCATGAATTGATCTAAATAAAAAAATAATTTTTGAGACAGCACATAAACAGTAATTTAATTGATTGTTCAATTAAATTTAATACCATTTTATGTTCAAATTAAAAAAATTATTTGAAAATAATTGAATTGATTTATAATTGTAAACTGAAAAAGTATATTTATTTTTTAAAATTCAATTAAAACACCAAACGAACTAATATTGCAAGGTGTACGAAATGGTGCTGTCAATCCTTGATTTAAGTTAAAACTCTATGAAAACAAGTCTGGGTAATTTCTAACTTTACGTTGGGCTATTAACAACGTTGGATGTTAGCCCTAGTACCAATTCGTAACGCAAGAAGTCGTCTGTAATGTGAATAAGAATATAATAATTTCATAAAATTCCTTAAAATGTCTGGACGCCTGCCTGGAAATGCGTTTATGTTCCGCCAAACGAAGTAATGACTAAGGCTGCCATCCTGCAGGAAAGTTGGCGATAGATGACGCTAAGTGCTAAGTTAGTGAGTCTGACCGTAATGAAGGGATAAAATAGTAAACTCGGAGATACCTCTTGATATGAATGTGGGTTTTCACTAATTTTTCCGTATATTTCTAATTAAATTTTGTTTTTTTTTTTATAATTTCTATGCCAAAAAAGCTGTACCACTCGCGTAACAGTGCATAACATTCATACAGAGTCTGTCTGCAATCAAGCGCCTAAGATGATAGTCTCCCAATTTTGGACAGACAGTATTCGAACCTGTTTGTCAAGCACTTGCAACAGAGTGAAATAAACATGGCGCTTTTACCGTCTGAGCTAACTTACATCGGTGGACGGATTATTTGGAAAATGAAACATGAAAAATTTTACCAAAAAGTGATGGATCATTTATTAATCGTATGTCTAGTTTTTAAAATTGATTTAAAGGATTTTTTTTCTTTTAGGAATAAAATTTATATGGGTTGGCTTGGGGTTTAGTTAACAATAAATCAAAAAACATAAACTGTTTAATAGAACGTCATTATCTTTATCGAACAACACCCACATCTTTGTATATTTATTATTAATGTTTAATTAAGTTCTTGCAAATTAAGCTATTTGAGAAAATAGTAATGATCAGATTAGAGTATTTATCCAGCCAATGACATTACATTACATTAGGAAATGTCATCAATTCTGAACAAAAATAAAAAAGAACAAGATGTTTTACAACAAATTAGAAAATGTTTTGACAACTCTCACATTTCTCAATCAACTGCTATCAACAATTATAATTACTTATAATTAAAATAAAAATAGTATAATTACAATTACAGTAAATTCATTCAAATGATTGTTACCGAAGTTTAAGTATAACATAGTTTCGATTGTTAAGAAAAAATTTGAAACGTGAAATTTTTATAAATCATAGACACACCTTGGATATTTTTAAAAAAGTTTTTTTAAAAAAGATTTCAAATAAATTCAACAGATTGAAAATTGTTTCGTTAGTTTAACAGCAGAATCTGATTCGTTCTCTACAATGCTATTCTTGCTGTAGTAGGATATGATTTGATCCAGTGAATCGAAACCGTAATTTCCAATTTTGTACTTGCTGTCTTCAATTTCGATGAAGAAGTTGTGCAACTGGCGAGGAGATGAAGAAGCAACCGACAGCGTCAAACCCCCTGGCTGTAATGTTGGCGAAATTTTGTACCATGATTTAACATGGTTACATTCACTATTGTGATTGCTATCTAATGAGATAATGAAAAGAAAAGTCATTAATTGACATGTACGTGTGGATGCACGAACCTTTTTGACAGATTTCCTGAACAGGAAGCAACCGGTTTCAGCATTTTTGAGGAGTTCATGGGCAAACGCTCGATCAATGTCGTAAATTTTGTGCTTTGCACAGCCATTCACACCTTCCGCTATCGTGAATTTAATGTCAGTATTGAGTGTTTCTTTTTTGGCATTATAGTTGTTTAAATCTGAATTACAGTTTTTCTGATCAACTGCCAGAGAATTGGGAAGCACGTTGAAAGAAGGTTTCTGGGCTGGGGTTGGCTTCTCGACTGACGATTGATTTGTAAGTACTTTCGCGGCGGGTTTTTCCGAAATTGTTGGTTTTATGGCAATGATTGGTTCTGGTTTATGGTTATCGCTGACAATTTTGACCTCTTCTGTGATTGTTTTATTAGTTTTGTCGCTATTGTCGGTGAAAGTTGCCGCGTTGCAATCACTTTTCACAGAAACCGCGTCAGGTGGCTGCTGGCGATTTGGTTTGCTTACCAAACTGTAGTAAACAATTTCTTTAGCATCATCCATTTTTAATTTTTCCACATCTTTATTTTGTTCATTACTTAATTTTGATTCAACTTTTTCGTGTTCATTTTTCGCTTTCGAGCTATTTTCATCGCCAGATTTGTTAGAAATTTGTGATTGCAGAGAAGTAAACTTGTTTGTTCCTGGTTTTGGAGACGGTGCTGAAGCCGATGAGGAAGTATTAACTGTTACATCTGACAAATAATTTCTAATTTCATTTTATTGAACATTGGATTAAAATTTAAAAAAATGTCTCCTTCCTGGTATAAAACCTTTAATGAGCGTGTGAAAAATATTGCATCAAAACATTTGCAAGATATATTTACAAATATAAATTGTACACATATTATTTCTTTATACATGCAGTGCACTGCACATTGGGCATATATGTCATATATGTATGAATGAAGCTAGAATATAAAATTGATTATATAGTTTTATTATAGTTTGACTATATACTGAATATATAACTTTCATAAGAATGAAGAAAAACAATAAGCTTGACTATCTTCTCACCAAATTAAAATTTTTAAAAATGAAGTGAATGCGTTGCTGACTTACTGGTTTCAAAAAGCACCATGTGCCTCAGGGGCACCCAGAGGGGGTTGATAGGTTGAAATTTGAGAAGGGGTGATTGCCTCGGGTCTCGGCACACTGCCATGCACAACACCAAATTTTTAACGGTGTCCTTCATGGATGACTGTTGTTTTGGCACAATGTCAAGTCAGTTTAGATACACTTCATTCCGTCAGTTTAGATACACTTTGTTACGTCAGTTTAGATATTTTATTTTAATTTCTCAATTCTATGAACAAATACCAACATTAATCAATGAAATTGAAATAAAAGATACAAACATTATCCAAATGTTTTATCTAAACTACGCTTATGAAAGTTATGGTATTTATGATTTAATAACTGCTGTGTTTTGTTGGTGCTTATGTATTTTTTCGTTAGGGTAATTCAATAAAATATAAAATTCTCAAAAATGTAAAGTTAATCAAAACAAGAAAGTAAAAAAAAAGTAGTGTGCTAATTACAAAATTATTATTCAATGCAGTTCAATGCATTATAAAATTATTAATGCATATCAATGCATTATTCAAAATTATTCATATTCAATGCAATTCTGTGCATTATAAAGGTATGGTTATAGTGTTCAATCGGGACTAGTTGTTTAGCGATTAGATAGCATTTGATTGAGACGGTGTGGCACGACGAAAAGTTATAAAACATTCAAAGTTTCACAAAGTAGACCCTTTTATTTCAGTACAAACGTTCTGAAATACATTCAATCTAGAGCCAACTTCAACAAAGCAAGATCGATCAATCATAGCTAGGATATGATATCATAGCTACTCACCTGGATAATGTGTCCCACTTTCAGCTGGCTAGCGAAGTCCATGGTTATCTTGTATGTTTGCGGTGCATACTCTTGCACGTTCGAGTTGTAGTATTCCTGCTGTAGGAGTTGTCGAGACATTTTTGATTCATTTATTCGTGTTTATTTGGTCAAGTAAAACTTAACGCCGATGTTGTTCATTGCCGGTTCATAATTTCAGTCCATGTTTTAAACGAATTTTACAGATCATTCAAGTTATTTTTTGAATTCGCGCAAAATTATGCAAGATAATTAGTTAAATAATGAATATCTTTTTTAGCCATTGTTTCTTGAATTTATAACATTAAATGCGTTTCAGATGTGTTTAATGTATTTTTTATTTGGATTCAAAATTGCATCAATGATCAAAGTACATTTCTATGAATATGGCACCTGTTTGAATATACTCAAGCCGCAATTGATTTAATTCTAATCATTAAAATTAATTAATTAATTTTGTCAAATATATAAAACGCAGAAACTGTTACTGCATGCTAGGCAGTAGTACAAAATTAAACGATTAAGTAAATGAATAAATAAAAAAAACGGAGAAAGAAAAATGTTTAAACATGAAAAGTAATATAAAATATAAAATAATAAATAATAATAATAAAATAAATAAAAAAAATAAAATAAATTGACATCGCCACAACTTATTAGGCATCGCCACCACGACAGTGGATATTGCAATTAAGTTACAAACTCACACACACGCACACAAACAAACAAACTAACAAACACAACAAAGAGTAGCAACGTCACTCGCAAACCACACAAGCCACACAATCGCAACGCTACCTCTTGTTCGATGTTGTCCTCAGTTTTGGTGTGGGGGCCACTGAGAGGCGGCACGTTGGCCACAGGCTTCACCTTCGACTGATCGCTGCTTGCCATTCCGAATTTCATAACAGAGTTCTAAAATCATAATTGTCTTATAATTATTAATTGTAGGATATTGCAATTAAGCTACAAACTCACACACGCACATACACACACACACACAAACAAACAAACACACACACACATTTAACTGTTTTTTAAAGGTACGACACGACACAAATTCTCTTACCACCGGGTACAAATTTAAAAAAATGTGTTGTCATCATGTGCTGTTCGCATGTGTTCATTCGTGTATTTATACATGAATATTAATTGCCAAGTGTTTTGAAGTGGTTAGGAAAACACATGTTTTCGACTTTGTTTATCATAATAATAATAATAATAATAATAATAATAATAATAATAATAATAATATATTCACCTAATGAACAAAGTAATCTACGTATGTAATAAAATAAGTTTGAAAGATGCGTATTAAATTTAATTCAATTACAATTGAACGCAAAATGTTGGATGAGCTAATTAATTTGAATGATAATAATAATAATTCGTAACACAGTTAATACGTAGTTTCTCAGCAACTAACTTTTTCTTTCAAGTCCAAACAGACGTTCGGGACGAAGCCCACCCTACCAGACCACCTGGATCGGTTTCAATTTTTTTTTCAACAGGTTTATTGATGAAGAAAAAAAACACGAATAGGATACTCTAAAAATGCATATCTTCTGTTCTAATGGGTACCCCGTTATCAAATATAGCAACAAATTTTTCTATAATGATGAGTGGCGACCTATATTTTGCATTCAGAAACTTTCCCGGAAAATACATCAAACACATCTTAAAAACATCAAAACTTGGTTTACCTGACCTAATTTTAACCAGACCAATAGGTAGGTTATCAAGGATTTCAACCAACTGCCCAACTTGAACTGAAATCTCATTGACGTCCGTGGCTGTGTGGGGCTTGATCACTGGAATATCATGCGGGGAAGAGCAATATATTTGTGAACATTTTACTAATTTGAAAGGTATAAAGTTAAATTACGTTTTAATTTTAAGATTATTTGATTTCAAAATTCTTTCAAGTAAATGAATAAAAGCAGGCTAATAAATTTTATAACCTTGTCTCATGTTTTATTTTATAAAATTATTAGTTAAAATTATTAAGTTAAAATAACTTTCTATTATAAAACTTTACAGACTGCATGAAATAATTTTAATGAAAAAAGTTTGATAAGTTTGAAATTTGATATTTTAAAAATAAAAACCAAAAAGATGAAGCAGTGGTACATAGTGCTACATACACACATTTGCGACAGTACATTCAAGTCAAACTACCTTTACAAGAGCGCATAGCGTTCGAATCCTTGCACTTTACTTCCTGGTTTTTAAATGGTCGCTATCTTTAGTACAATCATTGAACATTTACAAAAATTACACACACACCACACATTTACCACACACACACACACACACACACACACACACCACTCACATACATATATAAACATGCGTTCGTGTTTTCTCTACATATTTGTGATTATTTAGCAGAAATAACACGAAATTGAAACAAATTATATATCCATATATTATGTACGTGTGTGCGTGTGTGGTGTGTGTATGCGTGTGGGTGTGTGTGCGCGCGTGTGTGTGTGTGTGCGTGTCTGTGTGTGTCCGTTAGATAAAAGTGTTCTTGTTGATTGAAACTGGACTGTTAAATTTTGGACCCTTTGACGCATGGCACTATATAAATGCTTATCTTGTTATTTATCAAGTTATATTGTTATTATTATAATTATTAACTTTTTAAACTGATTTACTGTGAAATTCAAACTGACAAAAACTCAAATTAGTATTGAAAAATTAAAACTTGCGCTGACTTTATTCAAGTCGATGTCGCAGTAGAGAGCGTAGGCGGTTGACGATTCGTAAACTTCACTGTCCGACTGGTTCTTCTTTGATGTGGCTGATGTCTTGACGACCTTGTCGACCGGAGGGATGTTGAACGTCTTCTGCAGTCCTTCACCGTATATGTTGTCGTTGATGATGACGTTGTTCTTGGTCTCGTTCTCAGACGGTATCAAGGCGAGACAGTCGTACGATGGTTCTCCTGCTGGGGTTTTTAGAAGCGCAAATATGTTAAAAATAATATATGAATATTCATTTAATAGTTTTTGTTGTCAAAGTTATTTGAATTCTAGTGCATGTTAACAGAAAAATATTATTTAAACTTCATAAAACCGTTTAATAATTTGAATATCATATTTGAGTCGGCGACATAGAGATGGACCAATGCACCATTGTTTAAAGCAAGATAAAGCCTGATGAAGATAATGGAAAAAACTAGACTAAACTTGTATAACATCATCTAACATAGCATGAAATCAATTGAATATTTTAGCTTTTCCTCAACAAAACCTAACATACAATAGATGAAGTTTTTAAATTCTTTTAAAAATCAAACTCTGGTTGGTGCAAAATCTTTTGCAACATACAAAATGACAAATGAAACGAAAAATAAGAATAATGTAAAGTAAAGAAATGACATACAGAAGTGTACATGGAATTGTATGACACGGCCTAACGAACAGAAGATAAACCAGCAAGTCTACATATACACCACATATACGGATACAACCACATAAACATACACTCACCGATTCCATTCTGTTCGGCTATCTCCCTCTTCTTCTTGGAACTGTAGCGTAATAATTATTGTCATTATAGCAAGTTATTTACGCATTTAATTTACGTTTCATATAATTTCATCACTTATTGTTGCTTTTATTGCCAATGTTATTATGATAATTATTATCGTTATCATTATTATTATCTATGTTATTAAACATATGATTTATCTTTTGGGATTGTTTGTTATTCGTGTAGAGTTTTTAGTTGAAGTTTTTTTTTTGTTGTATGTAGTTTGACCTTACAAGCCCATAATGGGAATTTTGTCGGTGTTTTAAAATAAATAAATAAATAATTATAAGCAGTCATAATTTTTCCTGGATTAAGATAACAGATAGTGTCATCTGGTCTCGTTATGGAAACAATTATCCTTTATATATTATAGTTAGATAAGAATTTATTAGCGGCACGGTTGTCTACATTGTTTTTTTCACCTTAAATCCAAACAACCAAAATAGGTTAATAGTGTATGTGTAACGCTGATAGAGATTGTTCTAATGATAGTTTGGATTAGGATACAATAATCAATCAATCAATCAACCAATGATCTTCCTTTGTCTATCAGGGGACCGCCGAGGCCGAAGGTGTACATCAAAGCATGCTTTTAACATTTCTTTTTTTTTTTTCCAAAAACCTTTTCTATTTTCTATCTTTGGTCAGTTTTACTGAATTCAGAATACCAACACCAGTAATGTCGTCTATCTATTTCTTTGCAAGTCTACCAACTTTTTTCTTCCAATCTCTTCCAATATACCAAAATTCCAATAATATAGGTCTAAATATACATAATACATAAATAAAAAAAGGTACAATGAAACAAAGTTTCATGAAATACGCCTGTACCAGTAGATACGTACACAAATTAGAATAGCACAGAAATCCTATGATTCATTATTCCTTCAATAACCATTAAAAAATAAGTAATTAACTCAATTTTTTAAATAAATTTTAAACATGGAATAGGAAAGGTTTATACAATCACACACGACTCTTACGATCTACCATGCAATTTGGAAGGCAGACAAGCTGGAAAAGAATGTGACCATCATCTCATCGTTCCTCACATCTTCCGGTAGGTCGAGAAGTTTCTGTTGAAAAATTTTTTAAATGATTTTTTTTTTGAAAATGAGTTTAGAACATTTTTAATAAAATAGTGCTGTTGGAATGTTTGTTTAGAGCATTTTTGTGGAAAAAGTGTTACAAATTATGTTCTAAACGGGGAAAAAATTACAAACTGTTAATATAATAGTATATGATTTATTTGTACAACGTTGTAACGTTTCTAACAAGTTATGATGAAGTCATGTTGTTGAAATTTAAAGTTATTAACAAATTATCTACAATGTTTGATGAAGTTAACTTCTATATTTATAATATAACGTTTTGTATCATAAAACGAATTTTGTGTTTATCTAATTTATTTAGTTTGAAATTTAAGGAAAAAATTAAAAAATTGAAACATTATTCATGTAAATGTAATAGAACTGATCTGATTGTTTTTCATTATTAGTTTTGTGTTTAAGATTAACCTGGCAAAAGTTATCAATTTCAATCTTGCAGTTCTTATTTTTGAAGAAACCTCTATTGAACCAATCACAACCTTTCAACCAAAAATTTTTCACAGATAAATATTTTTGTACTTTATTTTCATAAAAATGTTAATAAATTTTTGTTGAAAATAATGAATAAATAATAAATGTACAAAGTGTTAAAATTTGCAACGTTGAAAAATCTCACCTTTCATTTTTGGTAAGTCTTTGGCAAACTTGGGGTAACATGTTATCAATTCTGTCTAATGAAAACAGCAAATGATTGAATTTTTCAACCAGCCCAACTAAAAACAATATCACGTTCAAAGGCGCATTGATATTGGGGTATAAGAAAATTATTTTTCATCGTCTGAGTCACACATACACACACACACGCACGTACACACACACATACACAAACATACACACACACACACACACACACACACACACACACACATATATATATATATATATATATATAATACATATACTTTTATAAATGTATTATATAATTAATATCACCTTATTCAAACTCAGAAGAACTACCGTATGCAGGCAAAAAAATAATAAATAATGTTTATGACAATTATATTAGTTAGCACTAACAATAACATGCTTATTGAGCTGGCTTGGCCGTTGAAAATTGATCCGATAAAAAGAAATTTTTTATTGCATGATTGAAAAACTGAGTTGAAACAGCAAATGCCTTCCACTTTCCCAATTTTCCACAAATTCATCATTAATAATAAGAAATCATCACACAGGCAACATTTTTTTAAAGAGAATACACAATTCCACCCGTGTAGATTTCATTTTCATGACAGTAGGTGTACAACATATACATATATATGTAACACATGCATAGACATGAATTACATCAACTGTACTTACAATGAAGTCGCATAAATCCTGATGCTTCCTAGTGATCTCATGAGCAGGGCAGTCATTACAAACGACCTTCAACACAAACTCCTGTCAAATTAAATTGCCACAATTTTCTAAATCTTGTTAAAAATTGCGTTCTTACAAGTTTAACGCACGTATTTGTATTTGGAGCATAGGTTATTATAAGTATATTATATTAAAAGTAAAGTAAACAACAAGTAGCTCAAGTCCCAAATTTGTACCAAGTATTTTAATCTTAACACAAGAAATAATTAACAACATCTTAATGATCATAAAGGAGTAGCTTACATTGCATCTTCTACCGTACTACCAACATTTTTAATGGTAATGCGATGTATACCCTTTCACTCAAATAGTTGAAGCTTTATAATAAGCACAAGCTGAGATTATTTTCTTTATTATTCTTTTATATTTTCTTTCATTAAACTTGTTGACTGATTCTAGTAGCATATCTGGATAGTAAATCCCATAGTTAATGCAGAAATTAAAACTTAAATGTGTTTATTTTAAGATATATAACAGCTCAAACAGCTTCTGTCTGTATCATGTATAAAACCCTAAATTTTTACCTAGTCTTGTAATTAATCATACCACTAATTGATGTAACCATTATTCAATGTGAAAAAAGATTTTTAAACCATTTTTATTTGGAAACGAATGAAATTTCACTCTAATTTTAGTAAAAATTCATGTTCAAAATAAATTTTTATAAAAAAACTGAAATTGGACATCGATTAAATGAATGGATCTTTAAATATTGTAATATTATCTTACCGGATCTTTTGACTTTTTAATTTTAGTGCATTGTATTTTCTGTAAAACTGTTGGGCTTTCCATCATTCCTATTGGCATTGGAACAAAATAAAACAGAAACTTTTAAAAATATTCCTCTTATAAAAAAAATCCAGTTTAAGTTGTAAGAAAACTCAGCTTTTAAATTATTATTTTGACGATTCAAATTAAATTGATTAAATATGTTATTAGTTAAATTAATAATTATATAGAACAGAATTAATTATTCAATTCGCATTTACATTATAAATTAAAAAAGTTTTTAAATACATTTTTATTAGCCACTCACTAGCAATATCCTAATGAATATTCATTTAACATAAATTCCGACCATAATTTGACAAAATTATTACAATAGAACTTTAATTTCAGCTGTTTTTTAGACTGAATAAAATACTTATTGTACTATACGTAAGCATATAAACATAAAACCCTTATCAATCATTCTTAAGAATAAAAAATATTTACTCGTTTCAACACAATTTTAAAGTTAAATAAACGTAACGATCTGAACTAGGAGGGAAATTACATGCCCGACCGAGATCATTAAAAAGGCAATTTACACAGTAGCTTGTAGTTGACAATAATTGAATAATGCAAAGCTGAACCATTAAATTATGCTACTGATGTGGATCTGAAGAGCTATCAATGCAATTATAATAATATAAATAGACCATTTAGTGAAACATAAATACTAAACAGCTGGGTTTGTATTAACGTATTAACGTAAGAATAATTGCCATAACTTAAAATTAATAAGTTTTATTATTAATTACGATGATGATAAACTTTATTGAAATGATTTGACATGTTGATTAAAAAGTTATTGGCAAGCGGAGTTGATACAGATCTGGTGGAATGGATTGGATTGGAAATTGTTTGAATGGTCAATCCTTGCGGGTAAAATAATTTATTCCATTAATGTAGACCCACATAGATACACGAGCCAGAGAACATCAATATAAACTCGATGTGAGTAGATCTAAAGCGAACGCAAAAAATACCATTTCTCAAACAGGACAGTGTCCCTGCAAAAAAAACTTCACTCAGCTGTTGTTGAAGTCGAAATGGTGAAAGATTTCGAGATGGCAGTAGACAGATATGATTCTGTCCTAAATCGACCAAGATTTTTTTATAATTATCGTGTCGAAACTAGCTATCAGTAATTTTATCTCTAATTTTATAATTTGTTGTAAGTTTCATATATTTATTAGATGTTGGCCTATGGACTTGTGGTTTGATTCTATTAACAATGTTGAAAAGAATGAGGATAACATGAATTTAGTAAAAAAAACTGCCAGCCTATTTTATCGATACATCCTTAAAACTTCAAGCTATAGTGCGTGTCCAGCATTACATAATAACTATTCATCAATATTCAAAAGTGCCGATATTAAAATCGTCGGGATTTCCAGTACCAAATTATACATTTCCATGTTTAGGAAGTTGAGCACCATATGAATCTATAAAAATATACACCAATTCAATTTCCCATATCAGTTCCAAACCCAGAAAATTTCAAACTATAGTGCGTAGAACATGCTGTTAAAGAAATTGACTGATTTTTAATATTTTCAATTTTTTTATTTGTTCATTCGTGATGAAAAACGAAAAAATATTTACCACTTTGATAGCATTAAACAATGAGTCTAAAACAACTTTTTAGGTAGATGACGATATGTCTGGCAAATGTACTATACGCTATATTGGTTACGAAAAATAAAAATATTGCTATGAACCTGCGAGTTTGTTTTGCGTATTTTTCCGGCAGACTCACTCGTGAAAAATTAATGAAGCTGCTGGCTGGCACCACATCCTAGAATGAATGAGGAAATGGTAATTAAATTTTAATGAAAGCAACATGTTAGTATTCTTTTCATTTTTCCATATGCTAAGAGTTTGCCAGAAGTGGGCCTCGAGGTTTTTTTAAATAGCAATTTTTTAATGTGAGATTTCATTCATCTATTTTATTTAATGTTGTTAAAATTATAATTAATTCAAAATGCAAATTTATATTAATTTTTGTAAACCCACTGAGATTTTATATAAGATTTTTCGTTTAATTAACTGTCTGAAAATTACGTTTAAGGTTTATGTTTATGTAAGGTAAAATTACGTTTAAGGTTTACGGTTAAAAATTTTACAATTATATTAAATTGGTTTTATTACTCATAAAATATAAAGAGAAAATCATTGAAGATTTATTGATTTATTCAAATTGAAACAGGATACATTTATTTAAAATTTACTGTGATTTGAACCATTGGAGAAAAAATTGGACGACTAAACATCATACAAAACCTAATTAAAATTATAAAAAAATACTGCATCATTTAAAATTAAATATAAGACGTTTATTCTTATGAAATCCAAAATTTCTCATTTGTCCTTACGGTTAGACAACTAAACCCTTCAGAAATCGGGTTCATATTACGGTTCTTACAGTGAAAAACGTGTTCGCTTATAAGTACTTAATATATATATTCTCTTATACAAGTTTTTATCTATTTTTTATCGAGCCATAGCAACGCGTTGCTGGGTTTGCAATCAAACTGGAATGTGAAAAAACAATAAATGTTGAAGTTTTTGTAAGACAAGTATATTTCGTATTCTCAGATAATATTGAGTTGTCTAACTTGAAAAGAATGCGCTTTCATTTTCTATCAGTTTTTATTCAAATAGTAACCATCACCGGTCGTAAGTTTTCAAATTTTTGAATTAAACTTTGTGCAACATTGGCAATCTTGATAACGGTTAGAACTTTTAAGTTGTAATAAATTTATTAAGTTTTTTTTATTAATTTTTATTTAAATTTGATAAAACTAAAACAGAAAATCATTCTATTCATAAAAAGCAGCATTCATTAGCATGAAAACGACGATTAAAGCCCTGATGATTGCGACAATGTTCTTAGTGGTAGTGAATGGCATGAGGGTTGTTGACCTCAACAGAAACACTGATGACTATTCCATCTACAAATATGACAAAGATGACGAATTGATCACATACAATCCAAGACATTCTGACACCAACCAAATGAATGACGAGTTAAACTCAATCAATCCTTCGGCTAATGATCATATAGAAGAGAGCAACTCGATAGTTTTTGTGAAAATCAACAGAACTGAAATATTTGAAGCCGCAGCTACTCCAGCGTACGATGAAGTAGCTCCAATCACTACAATCTCCGAGGAGAATATTTCAAATGACCCACCATTTGAAAAAATTTTCCCTGGAGATCCCATTGTTGACAGAATGAGCCAAATTGAGTTACTAACTACATTTACTTTTAATTTTGACCAAATGACATCAACTTTAGAAGCAGACATTGAAGTGGCCACAACTGCTACTACATTTGATCAAACTGATGACGACAATAACTTTAGCATTGAATGAAATATTTACACCCCAGAAAATTGTCGACTAGAACGTTCACAGAACTGCAGTGATTGAGTTTATTATTTGTGCATTTTGTTTCGAAAAAACAACCGCATTAATATATTACGTCAAAGTTTAAATTTTCAACGTGAAATTAATAATCAATTTTCACGAGTAAATTAATTATTAATGTCATGTGCATATAAAATATAAATCTAGATAGCATCAAATATTTTCATCGTAGAAAAATTTCGATTTCATAGAAGTTTCCTCAATTTAACTATTTGCTTGTTTGAAAATTTATTTCAAAAATTAATTAATTGGAAGATAATTTATATTATCTCCAGTCATGTTTGTTCGCGAAATAGGTCAGATTTTGTAGGTTTTCGCTGTAACACAAGTCCTCCTTCCAACTCGTTCCAGCTACTTCAACTAAATAAAACTTTTAACAATCGCCAACTGTTTTTTGATGGAATAAATACTTGTCTAAGCTTAGCCCAGTTTTTAATCCAAACTTCTCAAAAACCGTGTTTTTTAATTTTCATGACTGGTAAAATAATGCTTGAATTTTTTGCCAGGTAGAACTTGTCTGGGCAAAGTTACAAAATGAAGAAGAATGTTAAAGCAGGGAAATATTTTTTTGATTTTTGAGTAAAAATAGACGACATTTTGATAGACACACAACGAATATAAACTAGTGTTACTGAGAATTGTTTGATATAAACAATAAATACTTTCAGATTATTTGTTATTAACAAATAAAAAATTAACTTTTTTATATTGTTTGTTGAGTATTAAGATTAATGAAAATGGATTGAAAGATCAATGTTTTAAATAATGAATTTTTAAGCCAAGTATAACACATGAATGAATTTTTAAATACAATTTCATCCAATTTGTAGATAATAAATATTGCAGTCAGAGCTAAAATTATTCACTTCTAATTCTAACGGGTTTTGGGCAGACGACATGGTCCACACCATCAATGTAATTGACGATGTATTCTTTGTAGTAGAATCTCAGAAAGGATGATAGCACGTTAGGCTCCAAACGATATTGTCTTCCACTGTTCCAAAACCATTCTTGCTACATTCAAAATGAAGTTGTTACTATTTACTTAATACATACTGCTGCTTCTTTTAATAAAAAACAATTTTGCGAGAGTAGTCGCTGCAGAAATAAACTCTGATTTGATAGCTAGATGTGACACGTTAATTGAATTTCCTGATAAGCCAATGATTTATTTGACTGGTTCACTTCAATATTTTCAAAAAAACATCATAATTGAGTTTGCCGCATAGTTAATAATTAAGTTGTAATGTGTTGCTTACCCATTCAAATTGAAGGATATTTGTACACGATTTGTACATCATTTCATTATCAATTAATAATCAAAGAAAATTATTTTACAAATCACACAAAATTTGGTGAATTTATGTTCAAATGATGATGGATGGTGATGATAATAGTGATGATTGTGGTCGTGATGATGATGATGATGTTAATGATGATGGTGGTGAAAGAGATAAGAGAGAGAGGGAGGGAGAGAGAGATGTAAAGAGAGCGACGTAATTGGCCCACTTAAATGAAGTGATCTTGAAATTGGGCGATCAAATCAATAAATGATATTTTATAGCTGTCAATATGTGCTGAATCATTCAATAGTTTGTTTTGTTGATGTTGAAAATGATGTTGGAGTTGAATGCGTCATGCCCTATGAAGCTCGCAGACCCATTTTAAACTGACTGCAGTCTAGCCATATTTACACCCAACAGGACGTAATATAGACTAATGCAATAGTCTATTTTGAGTGGATAAAAGAATGATGAAGACATTGAAGAGTACGTTTGTTTAGTCATTTGAGGAGCCTAAGCGTACGCAATTTTCCAGAGCATTCTTTCAAAACTGCCCTCGTGTGAACGTTAAAAGGTATGTTATTATTAAGAACAAACCAGATATCGCCAAGTCTGATAGATTCAATGTTCATTTTTTTCATTTGCTGCCTAGTGCCAACCGGTAAAAACTGAATTTTTGATTGATTCAATTTAAGCCTATTTGCCATCATCCACTCGTTGATTTCCGAGAGGCATAATCTGAGTCTACAGACAAGATCGTCAAAACGACAAACACTAGCAATGATCTGAATGTCATCAGAAAAATTGTGACGTTCAAAGTTATATCTGTCAGGGGTTTAAATATACTCTGCAGTGTACAACAGAAACAGGAGAGGGCCGAGAACCGACCCCTGTGGAATACAATATGATAGTTTCAACATGCGTCATACGGACATGTGTCATTCAACTCAGCCGAACAGTCAACTAGATAGTTAAAATGTTCAATTAGTTTTAACACTTAGATTACCAAAAAATTATATAGAGTGTTTACTTTGAAGGTTCATAGTTTTCTCACTTTTAAACAAATATCTCTCAATATCATAATCTACATCATCATCTTCATCTTCTCACTACCTGATTCTTCAACCTAGTCAGCCTATTTGTTAAAATGAAAATTGATTCGGTTTAGTTGATTTATTGAATGGTGTGATGATAAAGATTTTATATTTTATATTTTATTTTATTTTTGTCAAGGGGATTCTTTATTTAATATTTATCAGATATATATCACGCACTCTCTCACATACAAAAACACCACGCACAGACACACCGCCACACACACACACACACACACACACACACACATACATACATACACACATACACACAAACAACACAGGCGCGTGTGGATACGTGTTTCTCTATACATGACATACATTTCAGGTTAGAGGCGGCGACCTATCTGATGCATTCAAACTTATCAACTCTCACATCGGCTTTATAACTACACCATTGCTCCATCCAACAACAAGATAACGATGGAAATGGTCGTGATAACCCTGGTGATTTTAAGAAAAAAATGTATCAAAAGCGCCTGCAGCTTATGCGTGTCCGCTTATTCTCTGCGTGAGATGGTTTTCAAAAAATCTAAAATGAATGACTTTTCAGGCAAATTTCCTCTACATTGTTAAAGTATTGTTTCTTCAATTTACGCTGCAAATTAAATTTTATTTTGATGATGTCATTTTCAGACGATTTTGTCGTCTCCAGCGATGTTGTCAGGGCCGGATTTAAAAGTAGGGAGACCCTTATTAAACATATGGTCAAGCATCTGTTAAAATTGGTGAACCAAATACTTTTTTCATATCAGACAAATGTTTAAATGATAAAATTTTTTATTCAAATCAAAAAATAAACAATAAAAATCTGAAAATTTTGAAACATTTGGTCAAAATTTAAAATTTTTTTGTTTTTAACAACAATATTCTTTAAAATAAAAGTTAACGTCCAACAAATTCGATACATTTATTCAACCATCGAACTGACAAACAGAACAAAGGAGATGTGCGCAGAGCTGATCAACGAATAGATATTTGCCATTTAAACGGAAGAGCTCCATACAATCCTCATTGCCGCCATAATTGTTTGGTTCACCGCTCATCCAATTATTCATTTCTGTCACACTTTTGTATTGAAGAATTTCATCTAAAAATTTTGCAGTTCTGAATATTTTCCAGTCCATAAACGCTTTACGAAATGCTTCAAAAAGTGCCAGATGTCCAAAAGCAGGTAGAACGGAAGAAACATTTATCTATAAAATTAATCATGAAAAATTACTTTAACGTTAAATAAGAAGATTTGCATAAAAACTATCATGATCATTTTTTTTTATGTTCAACGAAATAATTTTTACGAACACACTTTTGAAATGTTTATACTTCTGATGTAGAATTGAACTAACAACAAATTGATTTTAGATTTAACATATGCGCAACGTAACAATTTTAGGGAAATTTACTAATAGGAAAAATGTAAGACGACTCTTATAGTTTTTATCCAGATGAAGAGTCAGCTGATTCAAAAATTCCTGATTATAAGCAATTACTAAATTAGCTCCATGAGCGTCACATGTGATGACACTTGCATCCCATGACGCTTTTGTCGTATTAACATAGATACACCTTCCACCAATGAGGGTGAACGGGTCAGGGCAAGCACCTACAAGTTCATTTGAATTTGCGTGACATTTGGTCATTTTAAATTGCAAATTTGTTTTTATATTATTAACGTAGCCACACCTACCACTGACGATGGCGAACTTACTCTGAGAAGCGCCTACAAGTTCATAGAAATCATTTTCTTCACAGAATAATATCATCTTAACTAATTACATTGCATGAATAATATCTGCCTTATATACAGCAGAGAGACCCAGCATAAGCAACAGTGTTACAAATAACAGAAAAATTAAATAAAAAACAGAGAATAACATTTAATTATATAAATTTTTAAAATAAATTCTTAAAAACAGTTCTCTGCCCGTCACACTTCAATGAAGTGATCCGCTTGGGTTTAGCTAAAGGCCTCAGGATTTTACAGCTGGACCTTAAGAAATCCAACCCTTATGTTATTTGATCAGGTATTTTAGGAGTTATTATCGCTAATTTAAAATTTTTATCTTTTCAGTGTCTCTATGCTTCTTTCGAGAAACCGAAGAGAGCATTTTTCAAAACCAATAAGAAACCGATCATATGGGTTAGAACACATTTAGTGCTATTTTTTAATGTTGGAGTAGGCATGGCTAATAAATTATGTAAACTTCCAATAATTTTACATAAAAAAATAATAATTTGAATAAACATCCTAAAAAAATTCCCAAATACAAGAAAGGGTTCTTTGATGATAAAAAAAAGCTTTACGCCGTGCTGCCTGTGATTAACAAAAGCAACCCCTGCCCGCAGGGTTCAACTTTTGTGGACTTCACCCCAATTGAAGAAAGAGAATATGTCGTTTGTTCATTTTTGGAGTTAGTGCTTCTTGCAAATTATTTCATCGTTTTACGATTTTACAACCTTCGGCAATATCGCTTATTGAACGAACACTGTTTCTCATATTCCATCATATTCCACAAACCAACAGTGCAGAAACAAATATAGAGATGCGTAATAACGATATCATATTGACTTATCTTGGAAAAGAAGTCTCGGAATTTTCTTTAAAATGAAGTCAATGAAAAATGAAAGAAACAAATTTGCCTATAAACAGATAAAACTTTTAAGATTTTTAAAAAACAATTAAATAAAGTATTCCAGTCATTAACATTGAACGATTTCAAAGCATTGAATTTCAATCTGTGAATTAATGTTTACTTCAAATATGATGCATCCAATTGATGAAAATAAAAATTAATTTTAAAATAAAATAGCAATTCAGCATAATATTTGTCATGAATTCACAAAGTGGAAGACGCTTCTTGTGATTTAAATTATTACCACTCTAATTAAAATAGCAGACAAACTAATCTTCGAGTGTTTATGGTGTTGACCGAAAAAACTTGTTTGAGTTGTTGTTATTGTTATGAATGTTGTTATTACCAACTCCAACAACAATAACAGCGACAATAACGATGACCATGTGGATCATGACAATGATAACAACACAATCAATGACAACCTCGTTATCGCAAACTCCATTCATAACAATAACAACAACTCAAACAACAATACCGACAGTGCAACTATTAACTTTATTTTATCGTAACTTAATGAGCTCTTCGTATAAAGAAGACGAATATATAATAGAAAAATCATAAAAAAGGAGGTG